TTTGTATTGTATTTTATTGTATACATATATCATTTTTGAGATTGAGAGATGAAAAGATAAGTGTCAATTAACCAACCACATATTTGGTGATGGTAAATATATTATTTGTATGCCTATCAAAGCTATTGAATTGTTGCTGTAAATAATAATAATATTAATTAGAATTATTGTTATTATTTTGTCATTATTGTTGTTATTATTATTATTATTGTTGTTCTTGTTATTATTACTGATACTACTACTACTACTACTACTACTACTACTACCACAAATTATATATTTTTTATGCATATCACAGCCTTTTGAATTGTAAAAAATAGTACTTTTAATAAGAATAAGAATAAGAATTAATATTATTATTATGATGACAATGATTATTATTATTGTTGTTATTATTACTACTACTATTATTTAACTAAATAATGAAAAATTGTAAAATGAAAAAGTAAACCAATATAATTAGTATTGAAAATAATGAATGAAAATAAGATAGTGAAAATAAAAAAAAAAATTGATAAAGCTGCTGAAGATGGGGGTTTTACTCTTTTGTGCTGCTGCCACCAATACAGTTGATTAATAATTATTAGTCTCTTCATCAGTTTTCATTTCCATCATCCTAGGTGCTGTGTGAGTCACGTTGACAGTCACATGTCCCTGGCAGCTGTATGGCAAAGGGGGAAAAAATCGCATCTCTCAGCGCACAATTTATCGCGCAGTTTGGTTTAAACGTTTCGCATATTAAAATGGTTGATTTCCTGAGGAAGGTAAACATGCAAATCGCTTCATTGACAGAGCTCATTACCCTCACAATTGGGATTTGGGAGGGGAGAGAATGACACGTTTGTCAGCCTCGTCTCTGGCTCGGCCATTGTTCATCTGCCATGTCTTCAGCCAAGAGCAGCCATAGAACAGGTGGCAGCGGTACCCAGCGCTGCCAGGGCGCTCATCCACACGCTGCCATCCAACCCACAGCATCCTCCTCAATGAGCAATCTCCGAAAACATCAAATACTTCTCTTACCAGCCAAGCCCCTTATTTGCAGGATACAGCATATACAGAAACAATTCCATTCACTATCAATAAATAACATTTCACTCAAATCAATAATTAACTGGCATTTAATATTAAATTCATTTATAACTACACTGCAATACTAATTGGAAAATAATGTGTTTATTAGCTTTTGGGCTCATTCTTATATCATTGGTGGCTTTTGGTATTCGTTTTTATGTCTAGATCGTTCACAGCTCATAAATCTGACTTTATGTACTTAAAATAATTCGTTTGGGGTTTTTTTCTATAGCTTCCTTTAGAAAATAATTTATAGTTAATTATAATTATGTGCATTTTGCATTTCTAACCACAATCTGGGGAGAAAATCCAATAAGTATATTAGTATATAAGACCATATATTAGTATATAAGACCATCTGAGCAGTGGTTTTACCTACCACTGAAATAATAAGAAATAGAAATATAATATTAATAATAATAATAATATACTATTATTATTATTATTTGGGTAATAAAAAATTATATATAATAAAATTGTCAAATACCTTGAAAATGATAATACATAAAAAATTGTCGCAGCAAGGCGGGGAGATAAGGAGACCTAGGGCGCATACACATGGTGTATCTTCCATTGTGGCTTGGTAGCAGGCCAGGGGCGCTGTTCAGTAGTCCACAGGGCAAAAGAGGGGCAGTGTTCTGTAGTCCAAAGGGCCAAACCGGGGCGCTGTTCAGTAGTCCAGCTTGCTGTTGTATTATTTATAGAGTGGCAGGGACATGTTGCTGCCAGGGTAATAGAGGGGGGCAGGGAAGGCTATAGACCTGGGCACTGGCACCCTCAGGATAGAATTGTCCCTGAATACTAATGGCATGCCTACAAGAGTTTGCGCAGAGGCGTGCGCCATGTTGGCAGCCTCCAGCTCGGCGGACAGCTGTCTTTTCCATTTGTTCCTGCGGTTCTGGAACCAGGTCTTCACCTGAGTCTCTGTCAGCTGGAGGCTGGAGGCCAGACAAGCCCTCTCCGAGCTGCTCAGGTACCTCTTCATGTCAAAGGTGGACTCCAGCTGGTAGACTTGGCTCCTGGAGAACACCGTCCGGGTCTTCTTCTTGGAGTTGCCCTGCTTGTCCCCAGATGAAGGGGTGCGATGTCTGTCCCTGTCCCCCGGATAGTCCTGCCGGCTCCTCTCTGTACTGCGCGATCCTCGCGTTGCCCGTTTCTCGGGCCACCAACAAGAGGGCCAATTAAAGTTCGAGCGAATTCGTTACAGCACATCTCCACCATGTTTACAGGGGGATAGCAACCTATGTGCCCGTTTTACGAATCATTATATACACTTTATCAATACACTTAAATCAGTGAAACATTGCATCAGGAATACATATATATCTAGCGAACCTTCTCCGGAATGTGTAAGTGTTATAACTTTTAGTTTCCTCATATCACTGAACCAGAGTTCGAAACTAGAGAATTCGCTGTGACTAGTATGGTGCTTGTATCATGACATCCATTCTAAGATGACTATCATGTGTAACATGTTACATGACATGGAAAGATCTGTCTAATAAAGAAAATAAAACTCAGTCTACAGTTTCCCAAAAACAATCTACATGAAGTTATTATTCAAATATCGATCTATATATCTATCTATCTATCTATCTATCTATCTATCTATCTATCTATCTAATTATATTATCTATATTCTTTCTTTTATCTTTCTACAATCTTTCCATCTATTTCTTTATCTATATATCTATCTATTCATTATCAATCAATATAGTGTATCTATCAATCATATCTCTCTCTCTCTCTCTCTCCCCCCCTCCATTATTCAATCTATCTATCTATCTATCTATCTATCTATCTATCTATCTATCTATCTATCTATCTATCTATCTATCTATCTATCTATCTATCTATCCATCCACCCATCGATCTGGCTTTAATGTCATGTATTTCCTTATCTCTCTTCTTTATTAGTAAGCAGTAGAATCCACAGAGAAGGGTTTAGTTGGCTTTGATTGATGACATTGTGTTTCTCCCCATGTCCCATTAACCCCTTGGTGCCCACCATGGAGCCCGGGTGCACTTGTCTGCGGTGGAGATGAATGGGGGCCCGGGGAGAGCATCTTATTATCATGTCTGGTAAATTATTCAGGGCAGGAAGCACGGCGGTGTCACGCTGGGCAGATTGAGCAGGACTCAGGGAGCCCGGTGTCAGTGCGTAGCCTCCATCACAGCTCAGCCTTATGACATTTTCATCTCATCTTTTTTTACTGCCCGATATAAAAGCGGACGGTACACAGCACTAAACGCTTCATAAAATACAGCTCGGTGCCCCCCTCCCCTCCTCCCATGCCTAGGTATAAGGTGGGTACTTACTGTGACACCTGTGCTGGCTGCAGGTATGTGGGGCTTGCTCCCTGGACTCCTTGCCGGCTGATTCAGGGCAGAAGCATCTGGTTTCTCTCCATCCCTCGTCCTGATCTTCTTCATCTGAGGATGTGCTGGGGCTGGGCTGGCTGCTTGTGATGGGCTCCCTGGCACAAGGTTTGGCACGTCCCCGATCAGATGTGGTGCCTTGCAGGATGGACTGGATGGTGAAGCTGGTGAGGGTCGCTGGGGCGCACTTAGTGACCTCTTCCTTGCTGCTCATCCTGAGTACATAGGAAGAAAGAGGAGAGGATGAGGATGATGGAGATGCTGGGAGAAGGTGTGGTGGGAGGAGGGGGGGGTGCTATATTTTATTATTATTTCTTTTTATTGGGGGGTGTCTTGGCTTCCAGTTTGCACACACAGAGACTGCATTCCCTCCCCTCCTCAGCACTAAGTCCCTACTGATCTCCAGACTGCCTGCTGGTGTGGCTACATTTGCATGACACTCACAGCTCTGGAGGACCAATCACAGGCTGCAGACAGCCCCGGAAAAATTGAAATTCCAGGGTAGGATGATCGCCCCATGCACCGGATTTCAGTGATGTGATGCTGGGGAGATGAAATGGGATTGCCATGGCATAGCAGTGGATGCATGTGGAGGCATCTCAGATCCCTGCAGGTGAAGGTGTCACCCCTGTGTGCCCAGCTGGGAGAAATGGGAGAGAAGAATCTGGACAGGCAGCTCTGTATTAGGATATGATTGGGGAAAATAGAAAAATCTGGACACGGCTCTGTATTAGTATATGATTGGGGAAAAGAGAAAAATCTGGACATGGCTCTGTATTATTATATGATTGGGGAAAAGAGAAAAATCTGGACATGGCTCTGTATTATTATATGATTGGGGAAAAGAGAAAAATCTGGACAGATGGCTCTGTATTATTATAATATTTGGAAAAAAGAGGGGAAAATCTGGACATGTGGCTCTGTATTACTATATGATTAGGGAAAAGAGAGAAAAATCTGGACATGTGGCTCTGTATTACTATATGATTAGGGAAAAGAGAGAAAAATCTGGACAGGCAGCTCTGTATTATTATATGATTAGGGAAAAGAGAAAAATCTGGACAGGAGGCTCTGTATTATTATGATTGGAAAAAAGAGGGGAAAATCTGGACAGACGACTCTGTATTACTATATGATTAGGGAACAGAGAGAAAAATCTGGATAGGTGGCCCTGTATTAATAAATTATTGAAAAAAAAAGAAAACAATCTGGACAGGCGGCTCTGTATTTTCTGGACATATTAATATATGATTGGGAAAGAAAAAAGTGGAGCTCTTATCATTAATCTTTTCTCATTTGGAAGATAAAAAGTGACACCTCTACCTTTGCGCCACCTTTGTCCCAATCTTTATAAATGAGCCCCAGTGTACCCAGTACCTTTCATTAAAAAAAAAGAAAAGGTTTATTTTTTTTATTTTTTTTATTTTTTTATGACCATATGCTGATTGAGAAAGAAAAAGTGGAGCTCTTATCATTAATCTTTTTTCATTTGGAAGATAAAACGTGACATCTCCATCTTTACGCCACCTTTGTCCCAGTCTTTATAAATCAGCCCCCCTGTACCCAGTTTCTTTCATAAATAAAAAAAAGAAAAGGTGTTTTTTTTAATGACCATATGCTCGTAGCCTAACCCTCATTTTGTTGCACTTTGCCTCATGTTTTTGTCATTTCTTGTATATTTTGTGCATGTTGTTGCAGGTATGTTTTCTTTTCTTTTAGAAATCTCATTATTGTTAAATAAAAGGGAACAATTCTAAACAAATACAACAATGTTTTCATTACAGCAGACTAGTATACAGGAAAATACAACAAATAAACAACATAGACAGGAGGACAGAGTCAGGTGCCATCTACCCCATTCCCCAGACCCACCACCCTTCTCTCCAGACAAGCGGGGAGCCCATTGGACATGCCAAATATACCTAATAGGGAGAAATGGATATGTCTGCTAGAGTTAGAGCAGATAGAGAAGATTGTAAGCAGAGTTTGGCCCAGGAGTGATGTATCCACACTAAAAGCCATCGGCGGTTTTGTAAGATTTTTAACATGAAAGCTGCAAAATGTGTAATTAAACGCAGTAAATGCAGCATTTAGCTTAAACCTGGTTGGTTGTAGCTCATAAAAGGAAAGATCCAATGTAAAAAAAAATAATACATGCACACATCTTCATAAAGGAAACAAATGTGCAATTATAATTTTTTTTCACACTAGCCAGTAAAGCATTGCAGCTATGATCAGTGGATCACGGTGCAATGCTCTGGGTCCTGCAGATTCTTCCTCCCATCCCTGTCCACACCGAGGTACGGACATTCTCTAACAGACAGGAGGAAGAAAGAATGGACTACAAGTGCGGTCACATCACTGCACTTATATGCCATTGAGAACTAGAATCTCCTCTGCTGCAGTGCCTAATGGAACTTGTAGTTTCCCCATTCACAGATCCTCCTGTGGGAGTCATGCCTGTGGCTGTCAGAGCCTTGCAATGCCTCATGGGACCTGTAGTTCTACAACAGCTGGAGGTAGGCAACAGAGTTGCCTACCTCTGCACTGCATAGATGATGGTAGCTGTAAATGACATTGTACAATCAGATTGTAACGCGTGTGACAAGCTTTATGAATTTCACTGCAATTGGCAAGCCTGGCAGATTTGGGTGTTCCAGGCAAAAAACTGCCAGAACACATCAATTTCAGTAGCATTTTGTATTTTAGTTGTACTGGTCCTTTAAATGCAAGCAAGGACATTGATGCAGCAAAAAAAAAAAAACCTCAGAGATTGCGTATATAAGTTTTATTTTTCGTCCTTAATATCCCCCCCCCCCTCCCTCTCAGTGTGTATGATTGCTGGATGAGAGACGAGCGTCTGGCGCCTGGAACCTGAGACAATGCTATTTCATAAAGGAACCCTCTTACACCATCACCCAATGCCTGCAGCCGCGCCTGTCACCCAGCCCCCGGCTCATCGGATTACCTGTCATCTTTATTGGGGAGTAAGAGGAAAGAGATTCATGAATTAATGTTGCATTTGGTGGAAATGGTTTATTGATCCTCCCACAATGGCCCTATCTGGTCGGAGCGCCAAGCTATTTATAGGCGGCTTCTGTAGTAAAATATATCTGACTTGTTATCGGGCTCGAGGTAGCCATAGGCCTCAGGCCATTGCTGTGCCTAGGCATTAAGGGGTACAGGCATGCATGTCTATGAGCAATGCCGAAAAAGTCATGTCTACCCCTCTGGCTGTCACTGGGATTCAGACGCTGAACAGAATTCTTGGCTGAGCATATCTTCATCTGATTCACTAAGCTCAATCGACATTATGTCTGTGAAAGTTCTCATTCAACCAGGTCATGGTATATCTGTAAAAAATAAGTCAAAGCAACTGGACCTGATGTATTTTTCTTGAAGACGTTTCACTGGCCAATCAACATTCACTTTTCTAAGTCTCCGCTCCTTTAGTAAATCAACCCCACTGACCCGAGACAAGCATGCAGCCATTGAAAGTCGGAGCCCCTAATCTGCAGGCTGGTTGCAGGTCAGTAACTGGGAAAGTAGCCCGCCAGCCAGGGAACCAGCATTGTCAGAGGGAGAGGTTAGTAATGACAGCTTTATATTTTCACATTTCAGGTTTGCTTTAATGGTATCGTCCACCTTCTGCAGAAAATGTAATAAATGCGCCCGCAATAAGCAAATAAAAAAAAATGCATTTATTAAATGTTTGCATTGCAACCGCGAACAGTGCGTCGTGGGTTCCTGCACTGTTTACCCCGACCCCAGGTCTGTACAGAAGCACAGGCCTTCTGTTATGGGGCTGGAGCAAGTCATCAATGCGGTGACCCCACTTCTGCTTGCACGGTCTGTGAGTGTCTCTGCCACGGTGGAAGATGGGACTTTGCGGGCGGAGAGAAGCACCCAATGATTCAGGGTGGAGGGGGGGCAGGGGCGTCACTAGGCCTGGTGTCACTTGGTGTGCCCGCTGGGTATCAGCTGGCGTGTATGTCATTACGTTAAACTTAACATCATTATACACATGCGTATTGACATCACGTGCACCTCACTGCTGTCTACCATCTTGGTGATGGAGGCCGACAAAGAGAGGGGGGGACGTTCATCCAGCAGGATAACATATGCCGCCGGGTCCCCTCTTCTCTTGTGCAGCTGTCGGGCTCTCAATCCATAGCCGAGTGCCCGACTTTTCAGAGGGGGGTACTCCAAATTGACTGTCAGTCATTTTGGTGTCCTCCCCGTTGATGGTGTCACCCAGTGCGGTCCGTACCCCCCTTGTGACACCATCAGAATGTCACCATGTTTCATATTCCACTCTACTTTGGGTGTTTCATTAAAGAACAACTTCAGGAATTGTAAAATGTAACCCTTGTGGTGAGGCTGCCCCGGCACTGCAAGGGTTAAGCTCTCATTTTTCTCTAAGGGCTGAAAATAAAGCAGATATGCTCACCTGATCCGTGATCCTGTGGCAATGACCCCTCACCTTTCCCCCTTCTGTGCTCCAGCTGTGGTATATTCCCACAAATCTTGGAGTTCTTCCTTATACAAGGTGGATGGAAAAAAACACACCGCGTCTTTATATTCCGCATTCATGAAAAAAAGAACATTGCTGGGCACTATAGAAATCGATGAAGACGAATGTCAGGGGGTTTTCAGATGATATTTTCATTAATTCTGAACCGGTCTATTATGCGCGCCTTATCGAATGAAGTGCCGGTAATGTTATTAAATGTCCGTCACATGAGCGCCCGGGCTTTGACCAGAAGTAGAATCTTTAAATACTCACTTGATAGATTTAATTAATGGACTAATTGATTCCGAACAAAAAACTCAGTGTCCTATGTGTGGCCTAATCCTCCCTCCTCCCTGCGTCTCCATCACTAACTAAGAGCCCCTTATGAGAGAAGACAACACATGGGGACATAGCGACAGGAAGCCTATTTCCAGGTATAATCTTTCAGAACAGATATTAATATTCCTTCTCTATCAGAAAACTCTTCATCCCATTTAGAAGACCTACACGGGTCTACTGGCCCTCTCCTCCTACTCAAAAATGTATACTGCTTATACCAGGGGTGGACAACCTCGGCCCTCCAGCTGCTGTGGAACTACAAGTCCCTTGAGGCATTCAAAGACTCTGACAGCCATAGGCATGACTACCAGAGACAAAGGCATCATGGGATATGTAGTTTCACCACAGCTGGAGTGTCAAGGT